TTTCACTTTTAGGACCTGGATTGAGTCCACCAGACAGGTTTTGTGGAAACCACTGACTAGCCACAGCCTACTTGGCCTGGATCTCTCATTTTAAAGTAAGGATTGTTCCATAGATAGTTCAGTTGTGTGTGGCACAGCCCCTCAGCTTGCCATTCTCTTGGGGTGAAATTCATCCCAATATCTAGGCCCAGAGGTGGTTCCCTGCACAGAGGTGAATGTTGCCGTTGATGAGTAAAATGGTGGCCCTTAAACACTGCATAGTAAAAATTAAAAAAGGACAAGATCGAGTTTAAAAAATCAAATAAATTAATATTGTTTCCGTTGGGTTTCATATTGTAAATGAGATGGCTCTTTTAAACAAGATGGTTCTGCAAGAGCACACTATTCCACTGAGTAGGGGGGAGCTGTGCAGGCCTCCCACAGGCACTCCCCAGGCCTGGGAGCAGGGGGGCAAACAGGCTTCCTGCTGGCACTTCCTGGGCCTGGCCCGGGGTTTGGGGGGGGGGTGGTTTGGGGGGGGGGGCAATGCAGGCTCCCCACCAGCATTCCCGGGGTCTGGCCGGGGAGGTGCAGGGGAGAGGAGGCCATTCAGGCTGGCTGCAGCCATGCTGACTGGCCTGCTGATGCTGGGGAGATGGGGTGTGACTCCTGTGGTAGGGGCCGGGGTTGCACTGCCCAGCCTTGGCAGTGCTCCGTGGGGGAGGGGAGGGAACATGATGATGGTGGAGCCTGTGGGGCTTCCCTTCCTCCCAGGTCTGGTGCTGGGCCAAGGGGGAAGAATTTGGGGCAAGAGGGCCACTTACCTGGGCCAATGGCAGGCAAGCTGGTGAACCCCTTCCGCAGCTGGCCACTTTCTTGGTGGTGTGGCTGCCCCCAGTGGTGTCATTGCAATACAGTTGTCTCCTCTGTGTCCATTGGTGAGTGTAATATCCCTCTGCTCAGCCCCTTTCCTTTCCATGTTATGAAAAACTATCGAATTCCAGGTACATCCTGCTCTCCTGGCACGACCAAACTCTGATCGTGCTTTAAATTAGGAGAAGAGGAAGCTGCATAACAAATTTGGTGGTCCTAGCTCTTGCTGTTTTAGGAGGAGTTCTTGAACAAACAGACTCTCAGACAGATGCACAAATCTCTAAAATATATGGCTATGTCTAGACTGCAAGCCTCTTTCGAAAGAGAGCGTCTAGACTGCACGCGGAATTTCGAAAAAGCAAGCCGCTTTTTCGAAAGAAAGCACCCAGTGAGTCTGGATGCTCTCTTTCTAAAAAGCCTGTTTGCTTTCAAGAACGCCTTCTTTCGAAAGAGCACTTTCGAAAGAAGGCATTCTTCCTCGTGGAATTAGGTTTACCACCGTCAAAAGAAAAGCCGCATTCTTTCGATTTAATTTCGAAAGAACGCGGCTGCAGTCTAGACGCAGGTGAAGTTTTTTCGAAAAAAGGCTACTTTTTTCGAAAAAAACCCTGAGTCTGGACACAGCCTATATGTCTAGATTATATCTGTCCTCGTGATTTATTTTCTGGGGATTTGGAAAAATACCTTAGTTGAATAGGTAAGTTTTGAAATATCTTCATTTCTTTTACCTCAAAGTGTTGCATGGTGATCCTATAATTGGATCTGCATGGGCAGACACTTACTCCGAAATGGAATTACACTCCTAAATTCATTACACTCGTATACTGGCAGAATTGACTCAGCTCTTTGTCTCTCATGTAGTTTGATTCAGTTTGGTGAACTTCAGAGTCTCTTTCTATGAGGTCTTACAAATGACATGCATGCTATAGAATCATAGAAATGTGGGCCTATAAGCCCTGTTCTACACTAAGGAGTTATTTTGAAATAACAAGCAGAGCATCCATACTATCAAGCCTGTTATTTTGAAATAAGGGGCTGGTTATTTAGAAATAATAAATCCTGCTTTCCTTAGGGAATAAGCCTTCGGCACTCCCGATACTCTGGCATCAAAATGCCAAGTGCTCCTGACCAGCTGATTAAAAAGCCTGCTGCTCAGCACGCGTGTTGGATGTAACCAGAGGGAGCAGAAGGTTGAGGGGGAGGGAGTGGGACACGTGCTGGCTGTAACCAGACGGCGCATAAGGTTGGGGGGCGGGGAGTGGGGTCGTGTTACAGTATGAAGAAGAGCGTTTTGCTTCAGCAAAGGGGAGGGGAGGGGAAGGAGGATCAGGTTACAGCATGGAGGAGACGCGAAGAGGAAAGGGGAGGAGAGAGGGAGGGAGATTGTGTCCTGGCCAGCTGTTAAGGATCTCCTGATTCTCCGGCAAATCTGATAATCCGGTACCACCTAGGTCCAAAAGGGGCTGGATTATCGGAAGTCTACTGTATTCTGAAATAAGTTATTTCTAAATAATTTCCTAGGACATCAAGTCCAGCCTCCTGCACTGAGTCATGGCCAATTAAACCTAGGCCATCCCAGATGGGTTTCTCGAACCTGTTCTTAAACACCTCCAGTGATGGGGACCTCCACAACTTTCTTTGAAAACCTATTCCAGGGCTTCCCTACCCTTATAGTTAGACAGCTTCTCTTAATATCCAACCAAAATCTCCCTTGCTGCAGAATAAGCCCATTACTGCTTAGCCTACATTCCGTGGACATGGAAAACAACTCATCACTGTCTCCTTTGTAACAAAATGCAAGACTATGTAGCACTTTAAAGACTAACAAGATGGTTTATTAGATGATGAAAAATGTATTTGATCTGAGGAAGTGGGTCTGGCCCACGAAAGCTCATCATCTAATAAACCGTCTTGTTAGTCTTTAAAGTGCTACGTAGTCCTGCATTTTGCTTCAGCTACACCAGACTAACACGGCTACATTTCTATTATTATTCCTTTGTAACAGCCTTTAACATATGTAAAGATTCTAATGAGGTCCCCCTTCAGTCTTTTTTCAGGACCACATATGCCTGCCTTTTTCAATCTTTCCTCATTGGTCAGATTTTTCTAAACCTTTTATCCTTTTTATTGCTCTGCTCTAGACCCTCTCAGATTTGTCCATATATTTCCTACTGTGTGAAGCCCAGTTCTAAACATTGTGCCGCACCAGTGCCAGTTAGAGTGGGACAATAACAGTAAAAGCTAGCCACTCCTGGTTTTGACCAAATTTTTCCCTCTTCAAAGTGTTGCATGGTGTACTATCTGACTACTGCTGCTGCCATCTAGCCTGCACTTGGGTGCATTTCAGTGGTGCTCTAGGTTTTCTCATTCAGGATGAAAGGTGCTGGGATATAAATGTATTATTTTATGATTTTTGATTAGATATTCCTTTGCATGAGAGAGAATTTGGTGCTTGTGATATTGCCTCTCATTGTTCATTGTTTGTAACTGATGTTTTTGCATGAAAACTTGAAGTGACTAGCAATGGAGGGGTTTAGATAGAAACCTCCCCCGTTGGCATATTATTCCACAAGGTATCTTGCACTGATCTCTAAAGCAGCTTGTATTGGACACTGTCAGGGACAAGATACTAGACTAACGGACCACAAGTCTGCTCGAGTCTGGCAATTTCTATTTTTTCTTCTTGTGTTTGACATCTTGTAAACAAAATTACAATCCCTTAAAAAAAAACCCCAAATCCCTATCAAATCAAAACCAAAGTTTTATATATAGTGTCGTAAAGTACAATGCAGAACTCTGCTCCTGAGAGAGACGGTGCTTTGCTACGTATCAGCCTGCTCCTGGCTGTGGAAGGAATGCTCTGGAGAATGAAGTTGTTATATGGAGTATTGTTTTTAATAAGTATCATATACCTCTCAGATCAACTTCTTTTATATTAAGCTGTGTGACTGCCAGGAGTTAAATTAAAAGAGGGTGTTAAGGGGAGGGAGGCAAACAGGAAATTAAATAAAGGCAAAGGAAGGCTCTTTAAAGGAGCAATGCGGGGAGAGCCCCTGTTTGGCTCCCAACAGGTTGGCATAGCTTGTTCCTATGCTCTGACTCAGCCCAACCCATAACTTGAAGGCCACTCCAGGCAAAAAATTGTACATGCACAACTATGTGCTATTCTCGTAGTGATGCATAATTGAGAAAAGCTGCTCGTGTACCTGCTGTAGGCTGTCTCCATTTCCCTATATTTGGCACTAAATGAGCTCAGCCCAGGGTGTTTGAGCAACAGCTGTTTCAAACAGGAGAAATCAGATTCTGTGGCAGCACAATAGACAAAGAGTCTTCTACATCCTGCATGTAGGAATGTGGGGAGTGCATCGCTGAAAAATAACTTCAAGTGAAATGTAAGCAGGACGGCTGCTTTCCATGCATGCTCACTGATTGTATTCCCTCTTGACAAGGCCATGTCAAAGCAGAGTCAAGGACAGATTCCTTTTTCAAACCAGCTGTTAATGGAATAAGTAATTCTACAGACCTGCCATTCACATAGCACCTACTTTATATGCATTCGAATGAATTCTGTCCAGGAAATATAATTGGCTTAAATCAGGTTGATCCAACTGAAGATCTAAACTTCCGTTGAGTGGTATTTATATTTCAGAAACTAGTCTTTGGTGATACTTTACATGCTAGGAATGCTAATCTTGGGCTTACTTGGCACAAAAGTAGTGCCAAGGTCCATCAATTGACACTGGGTTTTTTGTAAGTATAACATACAAGTGTATAGTTACAGCACAGTGCAGTCACTGCTGGGATGAGAACCAAACTGAACACCACAATGTGCAACAGTGGCAGGTCAGGGTTATTATTTTTTATTTTATTAGGGTGGGGTAAAGTGCCTGTCAGTGTAGAAAGAATGTCTCTTTCCTTCCCACCCCCCTGTAGGGGAATATTTCTCTGGGATGCAGCTGCAGGGTGGCTCAGCAGCTGGTAAGGAAAGAGTTCAAGGAAGCAATCACTTGTGGGGAGGGAGTGCCTGCTACAACCAGACCATACAGAGGGATGAAGAAGTAGTATCATGAGAAGTGTAATATACTGAGGACTGTGTTGGAATGGCAAGCTATCCCTTAAGACACGGGGGCAGCAGGAAGTTCCTGGTCTGGCTTGCAGGCTGGAGCTGTAGCAAAGCACGAAAGCAGAGTCTGTTTAAAGTAAGGTAGGGTGAGTTATCCTCAGTGTCTTAGGGAACAGCCTGTTTTTTCTTTCTCTCTGTTTTAGCATTCTTCTGTGCTGGTGTTCTGGATTCTAAGAAAGGAAGTAGTGTGTGATGGGCAGTATAAGTCTAGCAGTGGTAATGAAGGGGTTAAAGAGCAGTTGTGGGCCGGGCTGGCTGGTCTTGTTTCTTCCAGTCAGTCATGTCAGGGGTGGAATAAGGGCTTAAAAGCAGGAAGTTCCAGATATTACTGAACAGCTCTAGTAGAGAGTAGACAGTGGCTCAAGAGACTCATGGAAGCCTGCAGGAAAGTCATACACCCGTTTCCCCCCCCGAGCCTTCCTCCAGCGCCTATAAAGGACAAGAAATTCTCTGGTATGCCAGCTGGGTAGGATAGGTTCTGCAAACCATTGTAATCTGGGCTTAAGTTAAGTAACGTAACATGAGTAACTTGCCTAATTGTTTAATGGGCATAATTGGGAAGGTGAGCAGAAGGTTAAGCTGGCATAACAAGCTGTATGTTGGAGTCATGATAGCTAGTTAAAATAAGCAGGAGCATCCTGATATTAGTAAACAAGCCTAAAGGCGGATAAAGTAGAGGTCACATTATGCATAGACAAAGCAGGCTGCACAGGGTTTGGTACATGAAGAGTAACCAAGTCAACTATGAAATGTATTATGCAGTGTCACACAACAAGCTTTTACTTATTTACCTTTCTACCAACACTAGTTCCTAACTGTACGTTGCAGAGTTAGGGACTAATGTTGGTACAAAATAGATAAGAAAACAGTTTGTTGTATGACTTTGGATCTGTGGTGTACCTTGCATCCAGCCCCTGTGTTTGAGTATGGTCAGTTCAGCCTAGCTTTGCTGTATGCCAGACAAAGGTGTCTGAAGGATGAGATTGAAATTGAACTGAGTTTTTGGGGAACTGAATGGAAGAGGTCTTGGGGGAACCTCAACAGCCTGAAGGGGAACTGTTAGGTGTCTGGAATAGTGACTCTCTTTCCTTTTGAGGGCAAGGGATTCTATGAAGGGATTAGGGGAGTCAGGAGTCCTGCTCTCCTCAAACACGGTTGGACTATTTGATGCCATTTTGTACCACAAAGAAACCCCTGCTAAAGCAGATTGATGCACCCTAAGGATTTTTCAATGTCCAGACAGCAGGAGGTTCCCCATAGCAGCCTGAGAGCTATGACAAATGGTGTCAAATGCAGGCACAAGATCACCCCGGAACTAAGAGGAGCCGCGGGAAAGGGAAGTGAGAGAAAATTACTTACACTCCTGGCTTGTCTAAGCAAGATGGACTTGGACAGGCTGCTGAAATGGCTGACACAAAGCCAACAGCAACAAGCCACACAGCAGCTGCTACAGCAATTAGCTACACAGCAGCAGCAGGTGTGGGAGCAGCAAGCGTGCTAAGGGAAACAGCGACCTGACAGCAAGACTAACATCAGTCGGTCCAACAAATGTTACCTTTTTTACAAACCAAATAGGGTCGTAGGGGGAGCACCAATAAGTCTGATGACAAATGCCCCATCTGCAATGGTGAAGCTGGCAAAACTGGACCCATATGATATACCAGCCCAGGAAGTGTATGTACATCTGGATGGGATGGCCACACAGGGCTACCTGAAAGTCAAAATGTCCAGCCACTGAGATATTAGCCATCTGCACTTTGGAGAAGGAAAATACTCCCTAAGAGCATGACCGAAATGGTAGTTCAGTGGTTCAGGGCAGGCCCTCTCAGAGGTCCAGAGAGGCCCAGGCCACTTCCAGTTTTTGAGGTCCCTTACCATAATGAAAGTAAAAGATGAAAGTGTGTTCTTCCTTTGACTTCCTGCAGTGTAGGCAGTGCCTAAAGCTGAGTTAAGCTATTTCGAGTTCAGCTACGCAATTGATGTAGCTGAAGTTGCATAGCTTAATTCGACGCTAGCCCTGCTGTGTAGATGCACTCCATCTGGGAAGTCCCTCAATTCTCCATAGGCTCTTTACCTTTTGAACTTTGAAGACAACCTGTTCTAGACCTATTGCAGGAGTCTTGGGAAGAAGAGAGCCCTCAGGTGTCCAACATGTGCCTACACCCACTCCAGTTATGACACATCTTAAAGAACGAGGAGGGTTTCCCAGAGAGAGACTCCTCATCTGGCTCAGTGCAAACAAAAGATGCCCTATAACTGCAGAGCTTGATTGAGAGAGTTTAAATCATGTGATCAGGAACTGTTACTGCTACTCAGCTCAGAGTCTAAAGAGTTGATCCACTGTCAAGGGTCCTTTGAGGTGAATAGAAAGGCAAGACCCCGCTGATTACACAATCCTGCATTCAGGGAAAAGGAAAGATCAAAATTTATCATATAAACCTTAAAGGTGCTTTTCATCAAACCCTATCCCCCATATCTTCAAATTAGGACCCCAGACCCTGATGGATAAACCTGGATAAAGCCTGCAGAGATGGAGAAAAATCTGAACATGTGACATGTCCAGCAATCTGTTCCCATGATCTTCTCATCCACTCCAGAAAGGCCCCATTTAATATTGAAACAGCATCAGGACAAGGACAAGTGAGGGGAAACCCCCCATCGCCTGCCCTGGAAAATATGGGACCTAGAGCAGTGTTAGATCCAGAGCCATAGAGGTCTGCTAAAGTAAGTGCCCCATTGCCCTGACCCCTAAGCCAGACAGAATGGTGCATAGTTTCCCACAAAGTTAGTATGATGATATCTAAATATGACACCTATCCCATGTTACTGGAGCAGTTATGGGCGGCAGAGCATATCTACCATTGACTTTAGCAAAGGGTACTGGCGGATCATCCTTACAGCTGACTGCAGAGAAAAGATGCATACTCCATACTCTTTGGTTTGTACTAGTTCTGTATCCTACAGTTTGGAGTCTGTGGTGTACCCCTGACCTTCCAGAGACTAACGGATAAAACCTCGTCACCCCATCGACAATATGCCATCCGGACAATGTTGTTGTCTATAGCCAGAGATGCGGGGAAGGGGCAGATTACCTGACACTGGGGCCTCAATCCCTCCTGGAGACAGCCATTTGGTGAAATGCAAGATCGGGAACCACAAAGCCAAGCACGTAATTATGCAATAGCAGGTGGGCAGCTGCGCTCTGGCTGGACAAAGTTACTTTTTCGATGAGCTGCCTTATCCCTCTGATGAAAGAACAAGTGCAACGATTCCTAGGTTTAGTCAGATGTTATCAACATTTTGCCCCGGGGTCTTTGACCACTGCAACTTCCATAGCAACCCCTCCCCCTTTTTTTTTAAAATGACAGACCATGTTCCGCTTCGATAGTTGAACACAGTGTAGGAGGCCAACATTGAATAATGATTTAGCATTTTTTTACTACTCTCAGATTGTCTCCAACCAGACACCAAGCTAGAAAAGCTCACCAGAATGCTCCCTTTCTCCCCTTTGAGGGTGTAGCACCCTATCCACTTTAATGCCCTGACCCCAAACCTGATGGGGAGAGTGTGTGACAGAGTGTATAAGCACTGAAGTGTCCATGCAAAGGTTAAAGAACAGCACTGGTCAAGGCTGGCCCTTCCCCTCTGGCCCTGTCAGAGGTAGAATAAGGGCTTAAAAGCAGGCTGTTTTGGGTAGTTGCTCAACAGCTCTGGAGGAGAGCAGGCAGCCACTTTTCAGCTCCTTGGAGAGACTCCCAGGGGAACTGGCCATAGTGAGGTCATTCACTGATTTTTTTCCCCTCCTCATCCTACCCATGCCCACAAAGAAACAGTAGATTTTGGTATACCTGCCATGTAGGAGAGGTTCGACAAGCCCCAAGGCGAGTCCTTAGGTGATGGATACTGATATAGTACATCCCTAACGGGACAAAAGGAGAGAGAGCCTGGATCCCCACTCACTTCAAAACACTGTCAGAAAGAATAGTCGACCTGATTTTGTATCAGAGACCCTGCCCCGGCTTAGGCAGATGGGGGCACCATAAGGCATTTTTGGACAGTAGGAGGTTGCCACCTGTAGTTAGAGAACTGTGACATTAGTGTTACTCTTGCTGGAAGGCTGCCATGAATCTCTGCTAGTCTATTTTCTCTCCGTGTGTACGTGGAACATAACAGTAAAGTTTTTGGCAAATGCAATAGACTATAAATTTTCTGGGAATCTGGAAAGTGGGATGGAGGGTTTGTTTTTTTACTGATGGGAAGCAGGATCGGTCTGGGCATGTCACAGGCAAATGGAAGGAAGGCTCAGAAGCAGAGCTGGGACAGGGCTCTTTTCACAGGAGGTGGTAGCAAGCAGGGCTGCATGGTGGAAGGCTTGGTCAGACAGGCTGGGGTTGGATGCCTGTAGGAGCAGGCTGTTGCAATGACAAGTATAGGATTCTGTGTTTTAATATTCTTTGAAGGTGTGTGGTCTCCTCCCAGGTTATCAAAGTGTCAAACATCTTCAACTAAAATAATATATTCACCCTGAAAGCCAGCCTTCCCTGCATTTAACACCTCATTTTTTACGTGAATGCTAAGTATGGGAAAATTCCAGCCCACTGAATTAGCCTCATTACCACCGGTCTTACAATTGATGGGTATTTTTTTCTCTCCTTTTTCTGTTATAAATTCTGGTTCTTTGTTGTTCCTCTCCAGCTCATCTGAGGAAGTGGGTTTTGCCCACGAAATGTCATGATACTATACATATTTTTGTTAGTCATGTGGCAAATTGCATATCTTATTTCAAATCTATTTTGAAACAGCTTATTTTGCAATTTGGTCTACATGGCGCCAAATTGCAAAATAACACACTATTTCGAGCCGTCCCTTATCCCTCGTGAAATGAGGTTTACCAGGATGGTGAAACAGTGAGCCTGTTATTTCGAAAAATACTTCGAAATAACGGGCGGCTTGTGTAGACGTGGGGTAGCTATTTCAGGATACTTCCGGTTTCCTGATACAGCTGTGCAGTGTAGACATACTCTTAGGGACTATTTGTTATCCTTGCTCAAGACAGGTGCACTTTTGATTTTCTTCGTCCT